TCGACTATTCAAAATTAATTGATCTTTTGTGTCTAAAATCGCAAGACGAGTTGTATTAAAGTTGTCGTTTAAAACATTATAATGTAAATATTTTGAATATTTATTTTATTTTATTTGTTGTTTTATTGTTGATTTTAACTTATCAAATTTAATTCCATAAAACTCATATAAATGGGGAAAAAAATTGATTGCTTGTTATGATTTAGGAGCCCAAATTCTGAAATTCGCCTTAGGTCCCACGAAAAACAGGTACGGCCAACCCTTTTCTATCTTCTTCTTGGTGGGGCTGGTGGGGAAAGTGGAGAGTTTGCTATTTACAAGTGACGGGAGGCAATTTGTGGATTGTTTATACAGTGAACTATACAATATTGACACTATTAAAGAAATAAAAGAAGCTAAAAAAAAATTTCGACTATTGAGTTTGGCCTATTACTAGATACCAAATGCCACAAAGTTTAGAAGTCGATAATGGGTTCACCAATTGTCAAATTTCTTTCCAGAGTCCATTGCAGGTTAAAGAGCTTGGCCATGATGAACTTGAAGATCTTATTCACATTGATGTTGTGTGTTGCACTTGAGAAGAAAAGGGTAGCTTTCATAGCCCTGGCATATGCCCTTGCCTGCATTTCCATATTTATTACACAAATTTATATTTAAAAGATTATTAAATAAATCAATGTAAATCATAGCATGCAATCATTATTTAGAATCTAGAAAAAATAAAAAAATATAAAAAAAAATTTGACAAAAAAAAGGTATTGGCTTCGCACAAATTCGAATGTGACTTTGTTTAAAGTGACCAAGAGATAGAAGTTAAAGATTGAAAATGTGATCTTCAATTATATTTAATCTTTTTATAAGCAAAAATAAATACTTACCTGAGTCACAATAGTCAATTGAATATCTAGTGGGAGTTGGACAAAATCATCAAACTTCGTTCCAATTAATATAGGAACTGCAGTCTACAATTAACAATTTTAAATGTTCGAGTAAGTTCGTCTTGCCCATGCCAAAAACAAGTACAGGTTAAAACATCACAAATACCCACGTATGTAATAAATGTGAAAACCAATTATTGTTCATACCTGATTCCACTTTGTTGCTTCATTATACCACCCACTAATACTACATTAGTAACACAAAAATACACCCATTAAAATAAATAAGATAAATACCATTTATAAATAAATATTTATACAATAATGATATCATGCAGTATGATAAGAATGTATAAAAATACTCAATAAAATATGTGCATGTCTAAGGTATTTAAGTTAATTATGTTATAAAATTGAAGAACACATGACTTTTGATCAGACTGTCCAAAATATTTTTATTAATCATTAATCATATTATTGAACTTAAGAAAATAAAATAAACAATACCTGTTGAGTGTATATCTACTGGTAAGATCAAACATAAACAAGATTGCTACGGCATCTTTGCAAGCAATTGGAACTTGATCAAAAGACCTAATGTCACCTGCATTATGATTAAGAAAGTAAACTAAATAAAGTAAATTAATTTAATTACGAAGATAATTAACATTTTGGAAGAAATTAATTTAATCATACCTCCCACATCCCATATTCTAAAAGCAATTCTTGCACCTTGAAC